CAAACAAGGAACAGAACGCCGTCCGCGTTATTGCAAACTCATGCTGCAAGCCTTTGTGTCTCTCTAATGCAGTTTTATTGCTCACCAGAGACAAGAACTTAGGGAGGTGCACTTCAGTTCTATTGGGAAATATAGCTGCCAAGTGGCAAAACAGCAACCATTTGAAAGTACAAAAGCAGCAAAAGACGCCAGGAAATAGACACCGCGACTCTCTCAATGTGTTATATAAAAAAAAAGATGAAGAACGAAATGGCCACTAAGCTGGCTGTATGTCGCTTGAATTTCAGTCAAGTCCTACTGACTGGGTATGGGCAGGTATGGAATACTTTCCATTTATTATTAAATAATAAAAAATAATAATAATTATATCAACATCATTATGTACAGGATTTATACCCGGATCAGCCATGACATTACGACTAGGGATGCACCTAAATTTCGGCCGCCGAAACATATCGACCGAAAATGGCACTTTTGGCAGAATACCGAAAGTGACATCTTTCGGCAGAAATTGTGGGGCATCACTGGTTTCTCTCCTCCCCACTGGGCTGCCTCTGGCACAGCGCCGCATCCAGCGGGGAGGAGGGAAACTGTCACAGGAGGACGAGCAGTGTCGGGGGAGGAGAGCGCTGTGAGCAGCCGGCATCTCTCCTCCCGCACCGCTCTGCGTCCTGTGACAGATTAGGAGAGCGGTGGTATGGAGGTGGAGACAGTTATCATTGCTGTCACAGGAGGCTGAGCTCTCCTCCCTCACCGCCCCGCTCAGCTTCCTGCGATAGATTAGGAGAGCAGCGGTGTGGGGGCGGAGACAGCTGTCACAGGAGCCTGAGCTCTCCTCCCTCACCGCCCCGCTCAGCTTCCGGCGATAGATTAGAAGAGCAGCGGTGTCGTGGCGGAGACAGCCGTCAGCGGAGACCGTGCCGACGGTCAGCTGTCAGAGGAGATCGAGCTCTCCTCCGCGCACCGCCCTCTCAGCCTTCTCTGACAACGTGTCAGGATGGAAAGCGGGTACAAGCACTCAGTGATTGATGAGTGTTTGTAAATAATTGAGAACATAGCATGTTTACGATGTTCCCATTATAAATGAATGGGAAGGGATCTACATCACTTCCTGTTCATTCATAGATTGTGGACATGGTAAACATACTATCTCCATAAGTTAGGAATGAACAGGAATACTTAGTATAGAGGATTCCTGTTCATTGATAACAGGGGCAGCAGAAAGAGATTCAGGACTCTGTGATCTCAACCTCTTTTTCTATTTTAAAAAGGGAAATATCAGGGGTCTGTTTAGGCCCCCAATATTTCCCAGAAGCCCCCAACAGTAAAGTTAAAAAGCAAAAAAAATATTTAATAGAAATAAAATATAATTTTTTTTAAAGGTTTATAAAAAACAATATATACAATAATACAATATTTTTAAAAATGTGAAAAGGTTAGAAGGGGGAAAAAAAAACAGCATCTTCGGTTTGACATTTTATTCCGGTTTCTAAAATTTAATTTCCGTTTACCTTTAATTATGACCACTGCCAGGAGAGGTGAATGATATCAATTATCTTGTTACAATGTCACCTGGAAGTGGGTGGAATATATTAGGCATCAAGTGAACATTTTGTCTCTGAAGATGATGTGTTGGAAGCAGAAAAAAAATGGCCACGTGTAAGTTAATGAGGAACCTTGACAAGGACCAAATTGTGATGGCTGGACAACTGGGTCAGAGCAACTCTAAGGGCCTGTTCACATGATATCAGGTCCTGATCAGGTGCGGATCTGCAGACGCGGTGCTACTGATGCAGTGCGTTCCAGTTAAAAAAATATATTTTTTTTTGGCAGGAGTGGGGCTGTCAGTATGTTAGCTGCAGTGCAGTGCTTTTCTGACGCGTTTTTGACGCGTTTTCGGTCCGTTTCCTGACCGGACAAAATGTGACATGCAATATTTTTTCTGTCGTAACCTGAACGGACTGCGCACGTGAGAACTGTAGCCCATAAAACACATAGGGATACATTGGGATGCATTTTTAGTGCAGGAGCGTACGGATCAGGTCAGCACAGAAAACGGACGTCGTGTGAACAGGACTTTGAACTGCAGCATTTGTGGGATGTTCCCGGTCTGCAGTGGTCAGGACCGACCACAAACGGCCCAAGGAAGGAAAACCGGTGAACCAAGGGAGAGGGTCATGGGTGGCCAGGGCTCATTGATGCACGGGCAAGTTTAGCCCGGGTAGTCAGATTCAATAGAAGAGCTACTGTAGTTCAAAGTATAGCAAGTTACTAATGGGGAAACTATCAGCTGCAGGGCGCCTACAGGCAATACTGATGACTAGTCCTTCCCCCCTTTCTGTACCAACTTCCACAGTTCAGATCCTCTGACTTCAGCCTGCATGCAAGCTTTTCCTGCATTAGCAATTCCATGATTCTGTAGCCTGCCATCATTTTGTTGACATCAGCGACTATATCCAGCCTGTTAATACACAGGAATCGCTATGTAATACATGAAAGCTTGGTAGCGGTGTGCTTGATCTCGGCTGATCCAAGGACAGCTGTGCGAAGAGACAAACCCGGCGTCTCGGCAGCCAGAAAAAGCTGCACAAAATCGAACTTCTCCCTTTCTAATGTGCTTCATAAGCTATGCTTTTGCGGCTTTGATCTGCGCTCATCTGGTGGGTCTGGTGAAAGTCATGGCGTTTATTCACAATTATTCAAATGGTAAAACATTTTAAACTAGTTAAGGAAACTTCAAAAAGAACTTTTTGTTTCTGCGTAGTCACTGAAAAAGTTTCACAAACCTACATTGGACCAAAAACATGGAACTTCCGAGGACGTTGAAGGGCAATTAACGGCCAAAGTGGTAGCAACCAAAGCTATTCACAGAAACATAGCCGTGACTATATCAGACTAGGAGATGAAGATTTTAAGGGTTAGTTCATCATTTCACAAAAAATGAAAAGGTGAATCAAGTCACAACACCCTCCTCACTCCAAACTGGAAGAAAGACGGCTCAGAAGACATTTTCATTGGCTAGAATTGGCTAATTTTTTGCTAAAACGTGAACTAACCCGTTAAAGCAGGGGTGAGCAATTCATTTTCTCAAGGGGCCATATGAGTAACTGGGACTGTTGTGGAGGGCCTAACCAACAGGTTGAACTACTTTTTTCAACCGCATTGTGGGGCGGGAGGTGCGTTTGGGGTGCCATTCAAATGAATGGCAACACAACGCACCTGCTGCCCTAACACACGGTAGGTGTGTTGCACCATTCCGTGCGATTAATGCACAGCATAGGTGTGAATGGGCCCTGAATGACGCCTTATTGTTTCTACATAGTATGTGGCACACACCTTATTTTCTTTTTATATGCCAGAGATGGGAGACTCGGAAGGTGGAACAGGGTGCAGGAGATAACTGAAAAAGATACTCTACCATACTCATGTAATGCTGGAGCGGGGGGAACACATTTGACGTCACTGCTCAGCGGTCCTAGCAACCAATGACTGCATAGGAGGACCTCTGACGTCATTGGGTGCTGACACACTATCGGTCCTAGCAAGGAAACATAAAAAGACCGCACACCGATCGCCAACCTGCACTGGGCTATAGCTTGCAATGGATGCACCAGCCTTGTCACTCACTGTGTGTTGCCTGATGAAGGGACCATGTTCGGTCCCGAAACTTTGCTTTTACACTGTGCCACCATGTCTGTATAACATCTGTATAAAAGAGGTGTTCAGCACATTGGACCTTGGAGTGCGGGTGACTTCTTTTGGACATTTCCAGCCTTGGAGGCTGGCACATCCACTGTCAGCCATCCATAACTGGGCGCAGGTTGGCGACCGGCCCGTGTTTGGACTGCAGGCTGGACAGGGACAGACAAAAGGGCCAGATACAGCCCAAGGGATGTAAAATATTCAGGTATGCTTTAAAAGTAACCTGTTCGCAATTTTTAGTAAGGATGATATTAAGCTCCAACCTCCACACCCTTTGAGTCACCCCTTAAGTTAAACTTCATTATTTATATATAAATATAGGGAGATATACATACATACAGTGTATCTAGATAGATATATTAGATAGATAGATTAGATAAAATAGATTAGATAGATAGATTAGATAGATAGATTAGATAGATTATATAGATAGACTGTATGTATGTATGTATGTATGTATGTAGATGGCTGCTTCTTACTATTCAAATCCTCCCTTCAGTAATGCTGAATTCTAGGTCCAGCAGTGATCTTCCAGTGCTGTGGGGGTTAACAGCAATAGCTGCAACTGAAGGGCTCTCGTCATTCGCCCTCCCCTCGCCTATTCGCAAAATGACTTGTAATATTTTCACAGAATGTAAATTGTTCTGTGAATGGAGGAGGGGAGCTTGAGTGGCAAGATTTGCCCTCGTCCATTCACAGAACGTCTTGCATTTTGTGAAACTAATACATGGGGTTTTGTGAACAGACGAGTGGGAAGGGAGGTTGGCAGAGAGGAGGGCGAGTGACAGAAACCCTTCACAGTCACAGCACTGCTGTTAACCCCCGAAGCCGCGGAATATCACTACTGGATCTAGAATAATTTCTCTATCTAGGATCTGGCATCACTGAAGGGAAGATTGGTATAGTAAGCAGCAGCCATCTACATGCTGATTATACACTACAATACAGGTAAAATGATGTGACTTGGTGTCATGGAAGACCTTGTTCACCGAGACTGATGCTGAAGGACAGCCGGGTTTGACACACATGCCTCATCCACAGGTCATCCAGCTGCCACCACCATGGCATATCTCCTCCAGCCACAGCAGTAATGGGGTTAACTTGTCCGCACCTACCTAAAAGCTACATATCAGTCCTGTGCAGCCTGATCCTAGATCCAGCTGAAGATCTTCCGTTAGAAGAGATGGAAGATCGATGAGACCATCTAAAAAATTTGGTGCATAGGCTGAAGTAAGAGCAGCAGGACCCCGTTACCCCTCACTTTACATAAGCATAACAAATCCTGGCTGCACACTTACCAGTCTCTTCAAAGAAGTATCCATTTCTGGACATCGCTGCCGGGGGACTCTCTGCGGGAGAGGAACAAAAACAATGGTCAATGCAACATTCTTTCCATTAATGTTGAAACTTTTTTTCTGCAAGAATGTCAATAGAAAACTGGCAGTAAGACAATGCAGGGCATGAAATATGACCATCCACACAGGTGTCCACATACATCCCACGCACTCATTTATAGCTGACGTTTAAAACTGCTTATATTTTGCCTTCCCTGGTTCCTCCCCCCTCATCAACCTGCTAATGACATTTTCAAATAAAACCTATCTTCATTATGTTTTTATTTTAGACCTAGTGACATCATCACTGGGTTCCTATGCTTCTCTATCCAATGCAGGCAGATCATGGCTGGTGGAAGGGGCCGGCAGGGTGCTGTATATATCTTACTAAAAACATTGCAGCACCCTGCCTTGGTACTCCCCTAATGATGTATGTATGTATGTATGCATGCATGTTGATTTAAGCAATGGGCTGGCTCCTGGGAGGAGTTATGCAAATATATACCTATATACCTTGTGCGTACCTCTAACACCCAGGGCTTCATCTCCAGCCATTCCCGCTTTAGTTTGCAAATTTGTGAGGAGGAGCCGTCAGTCTGACAGCCAGGTCCCACTCTGTAGTTCTAGAGCACAGACAGCCGTTCCAGAGAGTGTGAAGCCTGCAAAGTGTTTGCAGGTTTCGTTCATGAATATGGTACAATGTATTTTAATTTGTTCTTTTACATGAAGATCAATGCAGAGTCCTTTGAAACAGGAACATAACCAATCTTTGAGCAACCTTACAACTATTAGGACAGGTTCACACCATTTTCCGGACCAGATCTGGTCTGGGAAAATGGTGTGAACCTGCCCGCATTTCCTGTGCATTCCAGACCAGACAAAACGAGACCTGCAGTATTTTTCTGGTATGGGACAGACTGCGCTGGTGTGAACAGATGCCAGAAATAGCATAGGGATACATTAGGAGGCATTTTGGGTCCGAAAACAATCTGGTCTGGTCTGGAGATGATCTGGATGTGGTGTGAATGGGCCCTTTAAAAAAAAAAATGTTTAACAACCGTCATTTGTGTGGAAGGTACAATCAGAATTTAATGTAAACAATTATGGGTCATGTACACGAATGCCTGTGGTGGGTACAACCAAAATTCCAGCGTATATACCCCCCCCATGGAGCCACAGGTGGTGCATATAGCCCCGCATAGAAGACATCCACTGGAGTCTACGTTGTCCCTCCACAGACGGCCTTGTGCATGAGGCCAAATTATTTACATTAAGTTCTGAGTGTCCTCCGCACACAAATGACAGTTCATAGTAGGAGTGCCAGGCTGTTTTATCACTTCAGAAGAGGAAGGAGGTGGTAATTCCTCCTTACCATCTTGTCTTGAATTGTATTGTGATTGTAATGTCTTCCTTTTATTGTAAATCGCTGCACAAACTGTTGGCGCTATATAAATCCTGTATAATAATAATCCGAGTTAACTAATAGCAGTACTTTAAAAAAAAAATGGACACTAACAATTAAATAAATGGACACTAACAATTGTCCAGTGAATATATAAACATGGAACACAAGCACAAAAGTGATTTTAACGTATGCCACTCGCTAGAAGAGGGACCCAAAACAGGAAGGACACGATGCATAACTTGAATGAAAAGTTCTAAATTCCCCAAATCACTAGAGGCCCCTCAACATAACCAGCCTGACCACCAAGCCAAACACACTGGCCAGATCCAGAGGTAGAAGTTCCAGAGGAACAAGAAGCCCTTCGTGACGGCTTACCTCCGAAATATACCTCTAAACGTCCCAAGCTGAAGAAGACCGCCAGGATTTAAAAAGGAGAATTATGAGGCGAGTGATTTTCACTCGGCCTCATAATCTGAGCCGACCTGTGACAATAAAACTGTCCCAGGTCGGCTCAGTAGATCGCGAAGTGAGCGAACACATACCGGCGCTCGCTCACTTCTCGATCTATCCGTGCCGTGACCGTCACTCACGGCACCCTGCAGGGATTCCCCCCCTCCCCTGCCCGATCCTCCAGCGCTGACTGGCGGAACGGACAGGGGAGGGGGCGGGTACAGCTGGCTCTGCCTCTAGATAGGCAGAGCCAGCTGTCAGTCACGCAGCTGGGCGGATCCAGACAGGATTGTCTGGATCAGTTCCAACAGCAGCGTCTCAGTATACCGCGAGCTGTAGCTCGTGATATACTGAGCTTTGGGTCAGGGGAGGACGCTAGTTTGTGTCCTGTTACCCTTAGGAGAACTATGGGGAAAAGCCCTGACCACATAGTTCTCCTTTAAGCCTTAAACACATCAGTGGTCAAACTGAATACACTGCCAGTTTGGACAGCGAAACATCATATAAAGTATGTCAAAAAGCATATAAATTATTCAGGGTATCTGCCTTTTCTGCTCGGGGCTCTGGGCTTTACGGCTTTGCTCGCGTGTGGTCTGCCGAAAGGGCGTCCTTCATACTGGGGTTTTGCTTGCAGCTCTTGGCTTAATATGATTCAAAGGTTTGCCATCAATGGAAGATTTTGAAGGACCTACTACATGGATTTTAAAAGGTTTTAAGTGCCTGTGTAAGGACGCACTTTTCTTATCTGGTCTAAAGGGTACTTAGAACCATGAAAGCCATTAGTTGGTGTTCACTTCTTGTTCGAATTGTTTTCTGTAAATCAGTGTCCTAACACCCCCTTCCCAAGAGGAAAACTCCCACTGGCTTGTGGAAAAAGGTTTGTCGTTATTCTTAATAACTCTCTAAAACCCAGCTAAAAAAGGATGAAAAGGGAGAGATGCATATACACTCACTGGCCACTTTATAAGGTACACCTCTTCAACCACTCGTTTAAAACAAATATCTAATCAGCCAATCACATGGCAGTAACTCAATACATTTAGGAATGTAGACATGGTCAAGATGGTCTGCTGAAGTTCAAACCAAGCATCAGAATGGGGAACAAAGGGGATTTAAGTGACTTTGAACATGGCATGGTTGTTGGCGCCAGACGAGCCAGTTTGAGTATTTCAGCAACTGCTCCTCTACTGGGATTTTCACACACAACCATCTCTCGGGTTTACAGAAAATGGTCTGAAAAGGGAAAATATCCAGTGAGCGGCAGCTCTCTGGGCAAGAATACCTTGTTGATGTCAGAGGTCAGAGGAGAATGGCCAGACTGGTTCAAGCGGATAGAAAGGCAACAGTGACTCAAATAACCACTCGTTACATCCGAGGGCTGCAGAATACCATCTCTGAACACACAACACATTGAACCTTGAAGCAGATGGGCTACAGCCACAGAAGACCACACCGGGTGCCACTCCTGTCAGCTAAGAACAGGAAACGGAGGTTACAGTTTGCAAGGGCTCACCAAAATTGGACAATACAAGATTGGAAAAACTTTGTCTGGTCTGATGTCTCCATTTCTGTTGCGACATTCAGATGGTCGGGTCAGAATTTAATGTAAACAACATCAAACAACAAAAGCATGGATCCATCCTGCCTTGTATCAACGGTTCAGACTGGTGGAGCTTCGCAGCCGAAAAATCTGCAGCAACTGTGTGATGCTATCATGTCAGTATGGACCAAACTCTCTAAGGAATGTTTCCATCACCTCGTTGAATCTATGCAATGAGGAATTAAAGTGACATTAAACCCTCAGATTTTTTTACATAAAACAATACTGTAATGTGTGCCTTACTGTAATCCACGGTTGTTTCCCTTCTCTTTGCTGCTCTTCCTTTTAAATCCTTATCTCTTCTCATGCTGGGCAGAACTTCTGTTTTGCAGCAGACTGCCTTGTCTCTGAAATGGATACATGGTGTCTGTGTGTAGGTTCACAACCTGAGCCAGCACTACAGGAAGAGGCACTCAGCTGCAAAGGGAAGTTCTCCCCAAGCATGAGAAGAGATAGGGATTTAAAAGGAAAAGCAGCAAAGAGAAGGGAAACAACCATGGATTACAGTAAGGCACACATTACAGTATTGGTTAATGTTAATAAATCTGAGGGTTTAATGTCACTTTAAAGCAGTTCTGAAGACAAAAGGGGTCCAACCCAATACTAGCAAGGTGTACGTAATAAAGTGGCCAGCGAGTGTATATCCTAACTGAAAAAAGAAGGACAAAAGGGGGGAGTAGCAGACGTAGTTTATTGCATTTTTAGCTGTACTGAGCCAGCCATTATGGTTTGGGCATGAAAAAGGACAACTATGATATCCATTCCTCTGCTTTGATAAATGTCCATAGTGTCACTTTCACAAACAAAAGCTACTAATACGTTAATGCTCATCTAACAAAGATACACAGATGCTCAACAGTGTGTGGACACCCCTTTTGAATTACACAAAGCTCAGGTGTTTCCAGTGAAGGGTACTGTTATAGCAACAGCATGCAAAGACATTATAGACCATTGTGTGATTCCCACCTTGTGACAACAGTTTGGTGAAGGTTGTTTTCTATTTCAGCATGAATGCGCCTATGTGTATAAAGCCAGCTACATAAAGACATGTTTTGATGAGTTTAGTGTGGAGAAAGCTGAGTGACCTAAACAGATTCCTGACCTCAACTCTACAGAACACTTTTGGGATGAGTTGGAACACAGATTGTGAGTGAGGCCTTCACATCCAACATCAGTACTTGCCTTGACCTCAACCCCTCCAAACAATTTGGGATGAGTTGGAACATAGATTGAGAGTCAGGCCTTCACATCCAACATCAGTACTTGCCTTGACCTCAACCCCTCCAAACAATTTGGGATGAGTTGGAACACAGATTGAGAGTCAGGCCTTCACATCCAACATCAGTACTTGCCTTGACCTCAACCCCTCCAAACAATTTGGGATGAGTTGGAACACAGATTGAGAGTCAGGCCTTCACATCCAACATCAGTACTTGCCTTGACCTCAACCCCTCCAAACAATTTGGGATGAATTGGAAACCGGATTGTGAATCAGGCCTTCTCATCCACCACCAGTACCCTGCCTTGAACTCAACCCTACTAAAAAATTTGGGATGGATT